AAAGTGAGAACAGTATCAAATTCAGGGGTGAACTCTAGTTTTTTTGTTGCCACTTCCGAAACGGTGGTGACTTCAGTGATTAATAACAGCTCAGCCAATTGAGAATTCAAACGGTGATGTACTTGGACAATTCACCTTGTAATACTTACCTATCTCAACGAAAATGACGCTCATGAAACGTAACAACGAAAGGACTTTTGTGAAAACTCCTTTATACGCTAGTTCACTTTCCTCAAAACTCTTAAACTTTCTGGTTCGTGTAGCGTAATGTTGAATATTCCATGCATCACGTGCATGGTCGCTGGTTCGAGTTCAGTTTGAGACGAACAGGCACTCTCTCCGTCGCATCCTCATAGCAGATTCATAATCGGGGGAAAATCCTCTCAAATTTGCAAAGATGGGCGACAGTTGGTGGTAAGAGCCTAAGAATTCTATGATGGACGAGTGTCGTGATTTCAAGATAAATCAGTTGTACTAGAGCGTTTAGTGGCAGTTACAAAGAATAAATAGTCGCCAACAGGAGGCAGAACTCACGCTCAAATCCGAGGATTTCATGAATACAGAGAGGAAGATGTCACATGAATAGGCGATGTACTTCCATCTGCACAATAAACGAAAACGCGTCAATTCAAATGAGCAATTTAATCGAAGAAATGCACGCAGGCTGACGTATTCCGCATATAATTCTGCGATTAATACTTATTTAAACCTATTTGTGCATCTGAACTGCCTTTCAAATTTTATTTAAGCCAACATATCATTTGGTCTGTTATAGGGCAACTTATATAGCCTCATACACGTGTTTCGACCTTGACAATCTCAAGAGCACTGTTCTACACTCGATTGCTCTTGGTTGGTATCGTCAATTCATCATACCTTTCGTTATCTTAAAAAAACACTTGAAACGAAAGATATGATACGCTGACGATACCAGACAAGAGCAATCGAGTGTAAAACACTGCCCATTCAGCTTTAATTTCGCTTGATGGGCGGTGTAAAATGTTCGTCGTCACCTACTATTGGTACAAAGGATTGAGCGTCCCAAGAGGATTGGCGAAAGACGAAGGCTGCCGCTCGACTGGTGAGAATGTCAAGGTCGAAAGACGTGTATCGTGCAATATAAGTCAGCCCTATATAACAGACTACATGCGTGGCTAAAAAAGTGGTTATCTGGCATATTGAAATTTGGGCGTGGTTTCTAGAAAACAGTCCAAACGAAAGCTATAATATTTCGGTAGTACTTTGCTTGTATGAAACAGTTCGGGAGTTTCGTATGCCATTCAGCGTTGTAGCAGCAGGCCATGAAATTTCAGCGCATGTACTCTGTACTATCGGGAAACGGCGAGAAACATCCGATTTGGATGCGTGGAGACATCATTACGCGACAACATCGCTTACGAAGTTGCGACACTACCGTAATGGAAATAAAAGAAGTTCTACGATTTTTGTAAAACTACTCCTTGTCGTCGTGTCAAAATGCCGAACTAAACTATGACAACATTGTTTATTCATTCGACATTGATCAAACACAATCAGGTGTACCAGCGTGTTTCCTCATACACAAACGTCGCTTCATTCATATCTCACCAACTACCGTTTCGTTCAACGTCCCATACAGCCATGGAGATCTAATAATGATGAGGTTTTTTAGTGAACGATCTGTGTTTAGTGTTATCAACGGTAAGCAACCGCTAAACCCACCAGCTAAGCCTCACATGGCCCCTCTTGCGATCGTCCGACTTTCTCGGTTAACACATGGTGGCTACAACTTCGAAATCGATTGAGAGCGTGGCACTATTAGATGATACACTCTAGAGGATAGATGTGCTGAGGGAACAGAGCAGATCGTCTAGAGATGCCATTTGAGGGTGCCGAGGCCGTGGATCCGCGGTCTCGCAAGAGCTGCTAAATAACTTAAAAGCTTGAGAAAAAGGCGAATAAAGCCTTGGACTCAAAGGCTCAAAAGATGTAAGTGATGTGCAATAATATAACTGCAAGTTCGTTATGGGTGATCGTCTATTGTGTACCAAATAAGAAGAAAACTGCTGATCTTCTCGCAAGCAGTCTAAGCGTTGCGCTTTGTTTTTTGGAACTTTTGCTGAATGAGGTTGGCCAAATAAGCAAACCTTATTGATTATCATTGAGCAAACCTAGTATATTGATTACTTCTGTAGTAAATCAGTGCTTTTCAGCATTCATTCCTATCTCATTCATTCTATCTTCTTTTTCGCATTCAGGGTCTACATATGGCTTTACCCATTTTGGTGATAACGGAACAATCTTACGCTTGTACTTCCACGCAAGCTTTTGTTCTTGGGAGGCTATAAATTAGTGTGGATATTGTTAATACCGCATTCAAAATAAATTAGTTCAACATTGTGACAGATCTTCTAGTTAAGATATCCTCGCCAACCCTTGGAAGTTACGCAGTGAAATTTCTCGGATGTTCTTCTTATGTTTTCTTCACATTGAAGTCATGAATGACTTCTCTGAAGTTCTTTTTCTATCTTTCGGTGGTAGATGTCTGGCGTTTTGTTTTAGCTTTCTGTGTGGTCAATGCCACGATGAATGTCGAAGGGAAGCTCAACATCTTAGAAAATGTACTGCTTTTTTATCAAAAAATACTGTATTTATTTGAGTAGTTCCTCGAACAGGTAGGTATCTGAAAGCATGGTCGTGTTGGTGGAAATCAAAATAGCGATCGATTGCTGTCATATATTGTAAGAAATAGCTTTCAGCAAGCTTAACTTTTGTCATATTAAGTATGCGCAAGGTTCTTTTAAGGCGTTGATTTTGAAATTTTTTGTTGTGTTCGAAATATTGAACAATTGAAGTTGAATTCTATAGAATGTTCTTGAAGTAAGTGTGATGCATGCCATTATGAGAGGTATATTATGCGGCAACATCGGGAACTGCTGACGAAAGCGTGATAATAAAATTGAATAGTTTTTTTCAAGACGTTCTTTGACGAAAAACAAAGCAAAAAATAGCGGTTTGCTTTTTATAAAGCTTCGGCTTTTATGCAGAAAACTGAAGTTTTCATCCACATCTTATTAACCCATACGGGACGGAATCCTTTTCACTTTTTTCTTAAATTTTTAGTTTTCACTCAGTAGCCTTGATCTCGGCGATTTCAATAGCGTCATTGACTATTGCAAGATTTATTAGTGCGCTGAGCAAAAATAAGATCACACTGTCAACTCCTAATTTCAGCTTGGCGAGGCTTTGCTAATGTCTCCTGAACAGAGATCAGTACTTATTCCATAGCAGAAGAAAGCCTTGCTAAGACAAATGATAATGACACAGTATATCTCTTTGCGGTCGATGAGAGTATTTTGACACTCAAACTCCCAGAGGTCGTTTCTTCGCTGAAAAAAGCTTTTTATCTATAATTCAAATTGTGATTCGAAAACTCAAATCTTAAGGATTTTGATGCTTTGCTTGGTTTGCAAACAGGCCTTGATAGCGCGGTGTTGCATCAAAAATAAAATTATATTTCACACTCGGTTTGCCTTATCTAGTCAGCTGAAGTCCGTGAATCGCTTTTTATTGGATAACACTAAACTTATTCAATATTTCAAATCTCGGCAAATTTGAAGCTCAAACTAGTATTTAAAAAGGTTTTCATAGCTCACAGTGAGGGCGAAAATAATACAGCGTATCACACTCAGAGTTTCTTTTGCAGATAGAAGTTTTATATGTACGATAAGTATGTAAGCTTTTAAAGAGAATAATGTTCTATCAGAGAAATAACAACGAACTTAAAGAGTAGGTTCCCAAAGTTAAAAAAAAATTTTTGTTGGAGAACGAAAATCGCGTGCCATTGACGATATCGATGCGATGCTTATTCTTAGAGAAGCACATATCATATCATAAAGCATATTTTAAAAAATGTGAAAGTTTGCCACTCACTTGACTCGTTGCAAATAAATATAGAAATTGACTCTTATAAGCAGCTTATATATCAAAAATAACGTGTCGTCAAAGAAACGAACAAGAATAATTTACAAAATACATGAAATACATTTTGAGCACCAGTCGCCTAGAAAAGCATTACAATAACATCTTTTCGAATTTATGTTTACATCAAGTATCTGTCTATCGCTCTAAAGAATGTAATATAGCTGGGAGTGAAGAACTCATCATGTGGCAGTTACAGGACTAATCGTGTCCAGCACATGCATCGCAGACTTTTGTCCATCACCGTTACTTCTCTTGAAAATCGACATCTTGGAACACAGAACAGGAATTCTTCTGGGACAACTAAAAAAATAGTAGAAAAAATTATCAGAAAGATTATATTATGGAGATATGAACGAATGGACTACAAACTCTAGTAGTTCACTGGTAGAGATACGTATCAAGTTGCTGTAAATTCATTAAAAGAACGAATCATACCGATTTGTCAAAGAATCCAGACAACCGCTCGTGCATAGCTCTTAAAAGACGCTATTAAGGCTTTGTAGACTTTGTGGTATACTTGTTGATCCATGGCTATCACAGTTTCATTTAGTTGCAACGCCTTCTCATACGATAAGATCAACTTTCTGAAAAAATACCGTATTATTTATACATAAAAATGCTTTTTGTAGTTAGTTTGTTGACTACAACTATAGTTTAGAAGCGACATAAAGTTGATCTGAATTCCTGGATATCTTCAAAGATCTCGCAGCTATTAGCATTTAGGCACAACTGCATAGTCATAATTAGGTGTAATGCATGCTTGATTGATTGATATAGGATGGCGTACGTAAAACTTGGAAAACATTTGATTAACTTTTCAAATGACTACTCTTACAAAAAACGACTCCTATTTATTGTAAAGGTATAACAACTGGAGTGATATTTCGTTTATTTTACGCGACCTGTTTTCACACTCAATTGTGCGGATTCCAGCAATGCTCTTATTCGATTCGCTTCCTCGCATTCACCGTTCACAAAGGCTTTGAATATAACGGAACTGAAGAATAGTTATACAAATGTCTACGTTAAATTGCCATGCTTCCGTAGCGCAGTGGGTAACGCGACAGTCTTATGATCTGCAGATCGTGAGTTCGAGTCTCAGTGGGAGTTTTGCATCTTGTTGACGTTTCTCTAGTCAAAGTCTCCTTTGGTAGCGACGAATGTGTTTTTTGCACAACGCTTTGTCACAGAATGCATTGCGGATACCAGAAATTCTTGTATTCGATTCGTGTCTTCGCACTCGTCCTCCACAAAGGTCCCTATATAAATCTTAGGTAATGCTTCGGTTTCTGCTTTCCTTTCGCCTTCCTTTTGAATGTTGTAGTATGCTGTGTTTTTGAAATGTATACAAAAATTTATTTGCACACCAATTATGCTCAAACAAAAGAGAAGTTGTCGGACTGAGCTGTACGAGCATTGGGTATACTGTCACCATAGGCCTTGAAGATTTGTCGATGAGCCTTAGAAGCGTCGACACCCAATTTGTAGTAAAAATGAAGCAGCAGGCAAATTTCGTCGTTGGGCGGTTCCATTCTAGAGGCCGTGTAGACAAATGATAAGTCGTTCTATGCGCAAGAAAGCGGGCTCTCCGATAATCTCAAGTTCACACAAGATCACCTGTATAACCTGTCGTTTCGTTGATCGTCGAGTCACTGGAGCGGGTACCAGCAACTCTTCCGTTTCCGCTATAGCGTGCAAGAGTAGCCCAGTAGGTCCTCCTCGGTCTAGGGATTCGCTGAGGATCATATCTCTCTTCTATCGTTTTCGTCAAGAAATGGAACCAAAGGGTCAGTGGTCTTCCTTTAGTGCGCTTGATATCCCGAGGAATCGAGTTGGTAACGGCTCTCGTCCATCTGTTGTCGTTGAAGCGCATCACGTGTCCGGCCCACCTTATTTTTGATATCTTGGCGAGTAGGACGGCGACTCTGATTTTCGAATGTTGACGTAGGTCGGAACTTCGGATCCTTTCTCTCATTTGCGAGGAACGGAATGCTCCTAGCATCGACCTTTCGACTGCGCGTTCGATAACGCCAAGTGATTTTTCGTCCTGCTTACATTTTCGAGTCGAAAAGGTGGACACGGAGTCGGATGTTCTTTGTCCTCTTCACTACATCTTCGATGCTCTTTAACGTCCCCAAGCCGCTCATTTCCTCCTGCTCAACTCTGGAGTTAGGTCTTTCGTAATCTTGATTTCACGACATAGATAGATGCATCCGGAGACTGTCGTTCCGTTGAGCGTGAATGGGGGATTCGAAACCCATCCGTTCCTCATGAACATCGTTTTCGTTAAATTAGTTGAAGACCAGTCTTTCCACAGGTGTTATCGAAATTGGCCAACATTCGTTCCGCTTGGCTAATGTTTGGTGTTATGAGAACGATATCGTCAGCAAAGCGAAGATGGTTTGAATGTCGACCGTCAATTTTCACTCCCATTTTATCATATTCTAGTGTTCGCATGACGTTTTGTAGGGTGGCAGTGAATAGTTTGGCGAAGTTGTATCGCCTTGTCGAAATCCTCTTCTTACATCAATGGTGATGACCTCGACTACCTCCAGTTCATCAAACTTTTGCTTACTTTTTGAATTTCTTCCCGGGTTTTGGGAAACCTTCTTTTCAACCTAGTAATTCGTTTCAGCCAATTATTCCTAGTCTCTTAACGATAATTGTTAGAGGTTTTCAACTCTAAGAAGAACCCTATAACTAGGGATGACGGCAAAGCTATCGCGAAATTTATGCAAAAAAAAATCCCACCCACATCATTATTGCTCTACCATACTGGCACGATACACAAAACTTTGTGTAAACATTTTTGACTTGTACAAAGGTGTGAAAAAGATTCCAGCAGTATACAAGGTGAATATATTTAGCTTTGTTTCACATAATAGACAATATGTTAAAATACACAGCGGCGAATTCGAAGCGAAATCCCAGAATAAAAATAGATTCAGAATTATTCAAAAGAGCAGGAGCTGAAAAAAAAACTAACGGCTATGTAATATGTAGTGAATGAAAGGCGACGAATGAAGTTGAAGTCACTATCACGAGAGATTCGCTCTAACGACATCCGCTGGGCGAGAGCTGTTACCAACTGGATTCCTTAGGAAAAGGAACACCACTGACCCGTTGGTCCGATTTCTTCACGAAAACAATAGAAGAAAGATATAATGCTCAGCGAATCGCTAGAGCGAGGAGGACCCACCGTGCTACTTATGCACGCGATAGGGAAAAATGGAAGAGTTGCTGGTACCCGCTCGAGTCACTCGACGATCAACGGAGGACAGGTCATACAGGTGGTACAGGTGATTTATTAACAGCTTTCTATTTTTCTTGCTCTTTCTAACGCCACCCGAAAAAACGGAAGCTATTTCAAAGCTGAGCATAGTGTTGATATAGGCGAAACGTCACAATTTCTACCACTGACTTCTCCCCTCGCTCCCACCTACTAGAAGTGCAAGTGGCGCAGTGGTTTGAGGTACTCTTCGTCGCGTAGGCCATAGGCCATGGCGAGATTGTAAAGAACGGGTGTGAAATCAATCACCTCACACGAAGTTAAGAATTGAAGACGAATGCATGGCGTATCTCCCAGGGAATGACCAACGCCGAAAGCTTCATCTTTTGCCTTATCACATTTGATACCGCATCTATAACTGAGCTTTTTTCAGTCTACGTGCAAAAGTGTAAAATTTTTGATTACGATAAACATGTGCAAATTATTCAGGAAATTTTCTGTTCTGATATTTCGGTAATATCACAGGTTCCCTACTGGGGCCAAAATTAGTCCAGTGTTTAGAGAAATGTAGGACTAAGAAGTCTAGCCCCGTCTTGATATACCACAAATATCACGTCTTGAAAAATACGGGTAGCTGTTGAAACTAGTGGCGTAAGAATATGGTATCAGTGGATGGAAAGAGTTACACAAGATATAACCACTTACTGAATACTACATACGAATCTCAAGAGAATGCAGAGATTGGCGATGCTACAAATATAGATTGTCAGTGACGTTCATGAAATTGTAAGGTTCCGGACTTATAATATGCTTGAAGAAATACTAAACTTGCAAAAATGTACAGTGTTGTATTCGCGAATGCAGCTGTACTCCTAGAAGAGCAAACTGATAAGTTGGAAGAAAATGCGCAAAACGATTACATTATGTGTGAGATGTTTTGAGAACAACAAACGAGAGTATGTTGCATTTTTTCCATATCCACTCAAAATACATCGTAGATAAGCACAAAGTGAGCGTTCAGTCCTTTACATTCTATGAGTGCATCTGTACATATTATTCAAAAAACTAGTAGATCATTACGAAGTATTGAGAAATAGTGAAATATGCGAGTGAAGTGGAACAGGAGCTCCGTCCTAGTGGTTGTGATGCTTACCGCGGTGCGCGTGAGGTGCGAACTCCATTCCTTAGCTTCTACAGCAGTCAACAATGAACGCCTTATCAAATGTCATGACTAGACTCTCCTCGAGCAAGGAAATGCGCTTGATCAGTGTTCTATGACGTTCAAGAAGAAGTCGAAAAACAAACTGAGTGTTAGAAGTACAGGATCCGCACAGTAGAAAATTGTGATGATGGGTCGTATAGATAGGGAGCAATCATAGGTTACTTAATTATTTTTTCTAACATACAAAAGTTAGCTATACTGTTTGGCTTTGGCCGTAAATTCTAGCCTCTAACGCAGAAAAGCCTATGCCATTATAGATCACACAATCAACAACTGCTCATTGTACTCAGTTCCTTATATGCTTGATTCCGCATTACAAGCGACTGGGCAGGAAATCTGCGACATTGTGCTAGACCATGCTTGCTGAGGTTCACTAGATCAAATTTGTGTGAAGCGCGATAGATTTGCCCACATAGTATAACAACAGTCAGAAGTGACATCCGATTTTAGTTGACTTGAGTGCCTGGTTTGAAGCGTCGCAAATATCGAATAGTCATGTAGGTGCGTTGATGAATTATCTGTGATTCTTCACTATCCATATCCTCACAAGTCGCTTGCTTTGAGAGCGAGGCACTTGTTCATCGGCTAGAAAATTAGTTTCTCATTTCAATGTTGATAGTTAGATATTTGAACAGTAGAAGATAAGTCTATTTTCTGGTATTCTCGTTGCTTAACTTATCAATTTTATATGGAATGCTTTACTTTTTCTATGGAAAATATTCCCATGTTTTGACCTATGGCGCGTTATGTTGAACTGGCGTAGCGAAATCAACGTCATCCAACGAGAGAAGATTTTAGATTAACAGAAATCAATTAAGGTTACAATATATCACCTTGCTGTTGGCCGCTAGAGTGACTACAAAGTTCCTTGATCTGTTGTTTGTCTGAGGCATGTGTGTATGCAAATTTTGTGTGAATTGCATATCTGTATTATATATATATTTATACGAATATAAGTGCGTGCGTGTGTATGTGAATGTGTGGTGTGTGTACCGTTTTGGAGCTTTCTCCAAGTTGCTTCATTAACCTTTATTTTCATAATCACAGCATTAACACAGCGATAATAACGACGTGGGCACATCTTTTACAATGAGTAGCAATGGCCTACCGACGTATCAAGTCAAAGCTGGTATCCTCTCAGACATGTTTGATACATATTCGTCGATCTTGGAGAAATGAAAAGCTTAATGAGCCCTAGAAATGCGGAGCAACCATCGATAATGTGTGCGTCGCAGAATATAACTAATCACTGGCGGCACACGGATTCAATGTTACATAACTATATAATGACGGTACGATAGTAAGAGCCTAGGTGAATAATGATCATGCCACACAAGTTTTCAAGCAATATTGATGCATCAATAGTTTGATGTGATCCATATCATCGATAAGAATTACGGCAATGGGTAATGAGCTGAATGAACAATAATGACAACGGATCATGTACTAATGGCGAAACATATGAGTAAGAATCAAATAATCGACTTTTTTCTATCCTCGTCATCAATGCCAGTCTATGCATGTATCAAAGACTTAGTTGTCTGAACCACGATGACGACTGCAATACTTGCTGTTGTTGAGTTTGTATAGGTCCGAGTAAACGACCCAGAACCTGGACAGTAGCAATGTCGGCTTACATTCCTACTGTGATCTATACTA